GCAGGGGTGAGTGAAATAGCTTGGGACTGCTTGGGACCGTTGTTCTGGTACTGAGTGAGCCAAAAATAATAATGATTTTCTTCGGGACCCAGTGGTCTTAGAGTTACCTCTATGGTAATATCATAGAGGTAACTCTAAGACCACTGGGTCCCGAAGAAAATCATTATTATTTTTGGCTCGCTCAGTACCAGAACAACGGTCCCAAGCAGTCCCAAGCTATTTCACTCACCCCTGCATGTTCTGCATGATTCCACACACCCCTGATGTTATCTGTCAAACTTTCATAGCGAATCAAAACAAACATAGTGTAGTAATAGAATTTCAACTAGAATAGGGTACGTTAATCGTTTGCTTGGGACCAATAGGCTACTAAAGTGGTGAGCCAATTTAAAATCGTTAGTTTCGTATTGATTGTTGGTAAATAATATGGTTTATTTTTCACGCTTTCAAATTTAGCGGCAAACGAAGGTAAAGTGATGCCAAAATCTTGGCAATGACGAGGAAGTTTTGAAAGATCTGCGACTTATATTTAAAAAAATTAACTTTTGAAATTACAAGTTGAAATTGAAAGAAACACTTTTAATCCGAAAAAAATGATTTGATTTTGAATATTTTCGTTGTTAAAACTACGAAATTGGAGAAACTTTTAAATTGAAGTATCATTATTTTTATAGGAACAATTTTTGTTCTTTGTGTGAGATAGAGTCATCCCCCTCGGACTAGAGAGGGTCTAGTATAAGAATGGAGAGGACTGGCTGGTTTTGAGCCAAACGAACTGTCAATGACAGAGCCAATTGAGCAATGCCTATCTTGATTGCATTGGCAGTGTTGCTAGAAACCACCTAGGCATAAGTTGCAAAGGCAGTTTGTTTTGAATCCACTCCTCTCTTATACTGGACCCTCTCTAGTTAAGACTAAAGAGCCTGAATTTATAAAGAGATGGCATGTCAAAATTGGAACAATCGATTATCTGTCAAAATCATAGGAAAAGTCATTCCAATCGAGCAGAAGACCTGTCAAATGGAAAAGATGTCGCCTCTTTATAAATTCAGGCTCTTTAGTTAAGACCGTCGATGGAGCCTACACAGAAAAAAAAGTTGTTGAATATTACATACAAAAAGCTACACTCAGATCATTCCGTCGGTTGTGTAATATTACGTTGTACAATGTACATCGATTTTGCGAACAAAATTACATCCATTGATGTAATATTGTATCTGCTTTTTGCTATTACACCATTATTTCATACATCAGCTTGAAATACGTTGATCGATATTACATTTTTTTTTTGCTGTGTTTATGGTTGTTGAAAAAGCAATATAAATGTGAGTTAAATTATTTTCCCAATAAATAAATTCCTTAAACCAACAATGGTTTCAACGATTCACAGATTCTAACTTATTTTTGTACTGTGTTTTTTTTTTGTCCCATTTTTTCTGCAGTGGCTGACGAAATTTTCACTATAAAGCCTGGTACGCAGCTGAAAAGTAATGACGTTTTTACGTGCTACGGGATAGGACACGGAATGCAAAAGAAATTACTTTTCCTCAGCATTTCTTGACCCAGTACGCAGTTCAAAAGAAATCGGTAAAGGAAAGATCGATTACATTAGTGTCGTGATCGACATGAAGGTGGCGCATTCTGAATGCAATTTCACTTTCCTTGCGGAATAATGGTCTGATCAATTATTCCGTTAGGTAATGTTGACGTTTATTGCAAAACTGATGTTTTGGATGCATTAAAACAACATAAACACTAATAAGTGTTGATTTTACAATTTGACGACATCTCCCTATAATCTCAAAATTTAGCAGACTATAGCTGTCAAATTTTCTTTTGGGAAAAATCCTCAAAAATTACTTTCCCGTTTTCTTTTCAGCTGCGTACCAGGCTTAAGAAAAGGCGGCAAATGAGGATTCAGTGTTGCCAGTTAAATGGACAGTTGTACAGCTTTTCTTGAAATTTACAAGTCGAAAGTGAAAGAAAAAAATTCAAGCCGAGAATATAAATGTTATGTTAAATATTTTCGTAGATGAATCTACGGATTTTCTGTATGTATTATATTTATTGATACAATTATTGTTTTGTGTGTGATTTTAATCGTTAAGGCCGGCGCACAATATATACGTTTTCGGGTTTTTTGACAGATAATGCATGGGCTAACTGTCACAAAACCTGAAAACGTATCTATTGTGCGCCGGCCTTTAGTGTTCGGTTTTTACGTTTTCAATCGGGTTCTCCATTGGTGGTAGAGAAAATTGCTCGACTGCATTTCAATTTACTCTTCGTTCCTTCTACTGCTGTCAGTTCCATGGTGATACAGCTTTGTCACTATATAGGCGAGGAGGTCGCGAAGGGGAGGGAAAGTGCGGTTTTAGAGCAAATTGTAAACAAACTCGGTCGCTGTCCCATACAAAAATCCAACATGGCTGAATCATGAATTTGACACATTAGAACACCTATATGTAGGTCAGTTCCTAGGGACATCTCACTCTAAACCTTAGACCTAATATCAATTAAATATTTTTAAATTCCTCGTAAGTATCGTAAGTATTTTTAAGTATTTTAAACTAAGATTATATTTTCATCGAAGTAACACTTGTTTTTATGACGTGTTGCTAGTGTAGAGGTTTGTTGTTGACTTTTTTATATATCGAGTCGTTCGCCGTGTATTTATTCAAATTCATATGAAAATTTATGTTAATGGGTGGATATTTTTATTATGTCTATGAAATAGTATTACTAATTTCCATTTTTCAGCCATTCAAAATGTTAAAATGCAAAGGTCAAGATCGACGTAGCTACAAAAAACGATGTTTTGCAATCGTTGGTATGAGATGCACCCGAGTATAAATTATGATGTGTCTAATGATCGAGAGAACACAGATTGTTCATTGGCTCACATAAACTCCTTCGGTGGACAAAGATCCTACTGATGAATATACATTTCCACAAATGCATACTACCCCTGCCTTCCTAGCAGCGAATCATCTGACTAAGTAGTTTTTTTACATTACAGATGAGGTTTTAGTTCCTAAGCTAAAAGTAGTAAGCTCAAGATGCCGAGAAAATCGTGTCACAGAATATTCCAAGATGACCAAGCGAATGGGTACTGGAGGAATGGGTAAGGAGGGTCAAAACGTCTGATCGAAAGCAAAATTAAAGTTTATCAATCTATCGAGTTTCTCAATTCACGAAAATGTTATTTTAAAATTCTAATACCTATTACATTTAAACATTGTATTGCTTGTTTCTATTCTACGTAGGAAATCCTAAAACTTAAATCCGACTATTTTAATCATTCCCATAATTGTTTCATGTTATCGTTGGACCATTATACTCCAACTATTGCTTCGAATTGCTCTTTAATTAGTTAATCACCAGATCATGCAACGAGAGTATGCACGGATAGAAATCTCCTTATACCTTTTGGCAAATTTCCATTGCTGATTATTCATAAAATTTATAAGTCAACTAATAAGCAGACGCCTTGCAAAAAGTTAATAAAGATCATGTGTCAAAGGAAATGTATAAGCGGTCACACATACCTTTTATGCATTCTAGTAGGACCTATGTGGTTTGTCTTATGGAATGTATCCAGCTTTCCATGCTCGGTAATGGCGGCCTGTTTGTATCAATAAATGTATCCTTCACTGTGCTTTTTGACACTAACTGGAGGGCGTATGTTGTTTCATTTTCTTCTGTTCCTGGGAGAGGGAAAGGGAGGGGTCAAAATCCGAACCTCCAGATAGCACAGTGAAGGCTACATTTATTCATACAAACAGGCCGCCATTACCGAGCATGGAAAGCTGGATAAGGCTGATGCTTTAGAGTTTTGTTTGGAGTTCAAAATCGATATAGGATATAAACCAAATCCTCCTGGAAAGTTAAAAAGAGAGCTGTGCTGCAAACTAAAAATGATTAAAATTAATTTCAAACACGCTCCGCCTTTGGTTCAAAGAAGATATCTTGCTTCGATGGTATCCAACTAAACAGCCTTGATGATTTTTTTATCTTCTGTAATAAACATGTTCTACATTTAGAAGGTGAGAAGCTACGAGATCCGGGTCCGCACCATAGCATGGTGTGAAAGGTTTTTATCACTTCCGATTTTGCTTAGGCTATATACCCGTATTTATCGTTTGATAGGCAAGAACCTAGCGGATAAAGTAAAGTATAAATATATGCCCGATTATAACACAATACTTACATGGAGATAAGGAATACAAATGATAGAAATCAAACCGAACGAGTAAGCAACAAAAGGTTCCCATGTCTTTCAGATCAGAATGAACTCTTTCTGGTTCCGATCGAACAGATTACACCGGAAACGGTTCGTGACATACAGCTGCTCTGCTCACTCTCTCAATAAAATACCAATATCCACACAAACCTTCTGACATTGGATAAACAAACGAATTAAATCGGTATAGCAACCAAGCAAATAAACTAACGCTAGATATTTCTTAATTATTTTTAGGTATTTACAGGTATCTTAGATATCACTAAGAACTTTATTTGTATATGAAGGAAAATACAAAGTTAAGAGTGGGATGCCCCTAGGTCAGTTCCGAGTCTAGCAGTAGAGTCACGTGGTTGGAAGAATTTTCACTCGTTCAGCAATCTGTTGTAGGTGAGGGTGGTTATTTTGTTTCTGTGGCGCTAAGACTGGGGCTACACGATATAGCGCATCATTGTACAAATACAGTGTATAATATATCGTAAATATATATATATAACGTACAGAAAAAAGTAAAATCGATTGTCGCGTGTAGGGTTTTCCGGCTTTCAACTATACCGATAATATAAAGTTTCAGATTAAAAACGATTAAATTACTCGGTAATGCCTGTCGATGGCTAATATTAAATATTGAGGCAGTCTCAGTGATCGTGTAGATACCATTTCCAACCGTTCCTTTTATTTCCCTTTTTTGATTAACAATCAACAAAGTACAAAAAGGAATATAAAAAGAAAATGCAAGCCAAATGTCATCAAACGCTTTGTATTCAGCGGTGTGTTGTAAAATTTTCGCTGTTTCACGAAATATAGTTTTCTTGAGAAAATAACCCTAGCAGAACTATCTAAACACATACATAACTAGTTTAATTTATGAGATAAGTGGTCTGTGCAGTGAGTTGACATTAAATTTATCAGTTTCGAGTGGAAATTCGTGCCGCAAATCGCGATTGAAAATGTCAACAAAAGCCAGCGAAGAGGAAGCCCACCATGATGAGAGTGACATTACGGATGAGTTTATTGATGATGTTGGTGTTATGGCTGCTGCTGTGTTTGAAGTAAATCGATTTTTACATGAGATTTATTTGCTTGTTGATTACAGGAAAGCGATAAACCGGGATACTTTCCCGGGAAAACTGTTACGCTGCAGATGTTACTCGGTGCGAATGTTTTACAGCCGGGAAAGGCGGCGATGAGCATCGAGTATCTGGTAAGCTTCGTTCACCTTGGTCCCCTTCACCCCCTTTTGCCACGGCTTACGAAAACCTAACGAACCTTGTTTTCTTGCAATCTAGGGTCAAAAGTTCATCGGCGATTTGCTGCCGGATGGTAAGATAAAGTCCCACGAAACGGAAACCATCTTCTGCTCGCCAAGTGCTTGGGCCATCTACTGCAAGCGCATCATCAACCCGGACAAAAAATCCGGATGTGGTTGGGCATCGGTAAAGTACAAAGGTCGCAAGTTGGATGCCTACAAAGCGGCCTACCATCGTAAGCAACTGCAGAGGGAAAAGGACAATAAAGATGATGTGACACCGATCGATGGTTAGGGTGATGTGCGAATCATATTTTCGGGGCTAACTAAATGGAATTAACAATTTTAGATACGGCGGAAGAAACCGAAGAGGACAAGACGGCAATGGAACCACCACCAGTTCGAAGGAATATCGTTCAGCACAATACTGTTAGCAATCGGAACATTTTGCAGTAAGCAGTGAATTGCGCACATTATTATTCACAGATTCTAATATCCTTATTGCTTTGTTTACAGTGATGCAAACACGCTCATCGAGTCCATTCCATTCACATCTATCGGCAAAATGCAGCCATTTTTGGTATCGGTGTCTTCATCTACGATTCTTGTCATGGATTTCCATTGCCATCTAACGAACAATGAAGTATGTGGTTACCTGGGTGGTACATGGGACATCAACGCTCACAACTTGGCAATCACGCACGCATTTCCATGTCGTAATTCACGATTCGATCGTGATAAGGCCGCAATGTGCGAGCTGCAGATCCAGAAGCTGATGGTGAAGAAGAATCTCAACCTAGTTGGATGGTATCATTCCCATCCAAGATTCCCGGTGCAGCCAACCCTAAGGGATTGTGACGCTCAATTAGAGTATCAGATCAAGATGAGGGGCCCAACGGAAGCCTCCTATATACCATGTGTAGGATTAATATGCTGTAAGTTTGTCTCTAAGTTGTTTAAACAAAATCTTAGAATGTTATTTCGTTATCGTTTCAGCTCCCTACAACGACGATAACCTAACGCTGGAATCTAGTGTACTATCGTTTTGGGTTCTACCACCGCCAGAAAATCGTCCCGCAGAGTACGGTCGTCCAATGCTGATGTCCTACACACTGGTCCACGACGAGATCCTCTCCGAAGACATAAAAGAAGAGATGATGCTCACAGTTGACTATTACAAGCAGTTCAAACGTGAATTGATAAATTTCCAATCCGTCTATAGAAATGAACTTACGTACATTGAAAAGTTGAAGAGAACTCTTCAATCAAAATTTCCGCTGGACTCGACTTCTGGACATTTTTGGAATTGGATCCGTGAACTTTTAGGTCTAGATCCGGAAGAAATCGTTGTCATTCCAGAACCACCGCCACCACCACCAGTGGTACCAATTACCATTCAGAAGATTCCAGAACCAATTTCTGTCCCGGCAGTTGTCAACCTAACCAATGTAGAGGAAAGCAGCGCCACTACTGAAGCCAAGAACGACGATGATTTTGATGGAGTATCCGAGATGGGTGATTCTGACGTTATTTCGCTTAAAGATGATGACCCCAAGGCTCCTTCGTTGGCCGTTCCTAGCCTACAAGCTCAACTGAAACGACCCTCCGGGCTTAACATGACACCCTCTCCACTATCCAGCGCGTTGGTTGTTTTGCCAACAAATCTCAGCCAGAACAACAACACCGGCAACAGTAACGCTAATAATCACACCGGATCTATAACGACTAATACGTCTTCTCCCAGAGACAGTCCCATTACCATTCCGTCAAACTCAGCAAGTCCGGCAAAGTTCGAGATTCCCGTACGAGCAAGTCCATCTCCTGCAAAATCGGATACTTCATCTTGCCGCAGCCGCACTCGAAACTCCCCCGCACCAAGCCCTGGAAAACTGTCTATCGGTGACATTCTTGGAAGCGGAAATCGCAACAGTCCTACTTTGAGCTCTCTTATCGGAAACATGGGAAGCAACGTGTCCAACATTCACGATCTGTATGCGGCCACGTTTGCTTCCTTGGGAAGTTCGCTTCCCTCCAACCTACTGCCACAAGATTATGCATCGCTATTTCAGCAGAACTCGAAACGTGATGAGTATGGTCTATCAGCGTTGAATGCCCTAGCCCAAGTGGCGGCCGCATCCGGAATCTCAAACTCTCAAATCAACGAGACTCTCATGCACAGTCTCAATCGAAGTATGTCGTCAAAAACTGGGCAGACATCTACTGTAACGACCAGTACAGCTACCATGACATCCAGCAGTGCATCATCCTCGGTAGCCGCAGCAGCAGCGGCCGCGGCTGCGGCTGCGAGCGGTTCAAATTTGCCTGCTATTCCCAACATGAAAGAGTTCATGCAACAGCTCGAGAAGGGCAATTTAAGTCTGTTGATGCAATCTCAATATGCGAATCCGCTGGCCGGTATGACTGGTCTCACCGGGCAGGCAGGTTCTGGATCACATGGCGGCGCTGGAACGAGCGGTAGGTTTTATAACTATCTCCAACGCCTATCGAATTTTTGCAAGTAATTAAAACAATATTCAATTTCAGGTACCGGTGGAAAATCCGGATCAAGCCGATCATCCAACAAATCACGTGCGAAATCTCAGCAACAGTCTGTCCAACAGCAACTTCAACAAGCTCAGCAGCACTTGCTCCAGCAGCAACAGCAACAACATCAATCGCTCATGGATTACGCCGACTTTACCAGCAAGTTTGACCAAAGTAAATTGGCCGATCTAATGAAATCTCCAGAATACTCTCAAATGCTGCTACAGCAAGCACAGGCATTGGGAAGTCTTGGCAGCGAGATATCTATAATCAAGAAGCCTTCCTCCAAGAACAGCTCAAATACATCCTCTAGCAATGTCAACAACAGCAACAACAACAACAACAGTAACTCAACCAGCAACACCAACAATAACAATTCCAGTAACAATAACAAGAAGGATTCAGCTAGTGATCTGATTTCGAAACTACGCACAATTTTCTCCACCGACTCTTATCTCCCACCGATGCCAACGGCCGCAGATATCAACTTGCTGGCAGAGCAATCGCAGAAGGTTCCCGAAATCCAGCAAATTTTGAATTCCGGTAATTTGGACGATATTCAAGTGTTGCTAAAGGCCCAATCTCTATCCAACAATATGCTGGATTTTGCTGCTTTCCAACAAGGAACATCTGGTATTGGCTTGAACACCGGAGCTGGTGAGGGCTCTAGCAAGGCTAGCAAAAATGCTGCTAAAGAAGAACGGGAAAGGGAACGTGAACGGGAACGAGAACGAGAACGCGAGCGAGAGCGTGAAAGGGAACGGGAACGCGAGAGGGAACGGGAGAGAGAAAGGGAAAATGCTGCAGCTGCAGTAGCCATGAATCCATATCTATCAGCTAGTAATCTTTCGGCATTATTCGAACCAGTACAGCGTTCCTCGTCCGGCAAATCTGGCAGTAAATCAGACAAGAACAAGGGTTCTGTTGATCGCACCACCACCAACGTTGCATCTAATCCTGCAGAAATGTTGAACAGTCTCTTTACGACTGCAGCTGGAGCAGCTGATATGAATGCATTACTTTATGGACAGGGCAAAGGTGGTCCTGATTTGAGCATGCTCTTCGGAGCAGCTGGTGTATGTTCAGCCCCAACTTCCTCTTCGAATTCGAGCACAACTTCAACTGCTGCTGCAGCCGCCGCAGCCGCAGCGAAACAAAGTTTGGATTATCTTTCCATGTTCCCCAATTTTTCCGCTGCTAAGCTTCCGGAAATGTCTGCTCTCTTCCAATCGGACAAATTTGAAATTCCAGATCCACTGGCAAAGGCAACGCTTGAAGCAAACAATATGTATCTTGCTCCGTCGGCCTCTCTACTGAAGCTCCAACAAGAAGCATTCAACTCGATGATGATGAAACCTCCCAAATCATCATCCTCCTCCACATCGTCATCCAGCAAGATCGAAACTCCACCTCCTATATCGGCCTCGCCCGGTGCTCGTTCAACTCCTACTAAATCTGCCAGCCGCGAGAGTCCATCGCTCGGACCGAAGTACAACTTCAGTGCAGTAGACCTTGCCGTGTCCAGTGTTCCTCTAGCCGCTTCGTCGCCTCTCGGTGCTGCCGATTTGTCCAGGAAAACTCCGCAAACTCCTCCGGTGGACATGTCAGCTTCACCGTCCATTCAAACTACTCCACCAGCCCCGGCTGGATCGTCGCAAATATTGCCGCCGTACAAAAAGCGAATGGAATTCTCATCCATCGCTGATCTCGTTGCAGCACCGCCCAGCAAGATGCCAAAGCTCTCCTCGGAGAATTTGGACCCCTAAGCGACAATGGGACAGGTACTGATTGTGCAAAGGTAAGATTTTGAGCGAATCCACTTTTACAGTATTGATCGAATAGAATTAACGTCTATTTTAGTATGCGTCAGACCTTATTTTCAAATTGATTCATATTTTATCATTAAGTATGACTATACAATGTTACACAGTTGTATTGCTATTAGAAGATCTATGGAAACTTTCGACTTTCGTAAACAAATTAAACCCAGCAGTTCTGAAGGTAGCCAATACAATTCTGATAATTTCATCGAAGCAGCAGCATTTTTTATTTTCTTAATTTCTACAATTTGCGTCAAAATAGAACACATCTTACTCTAGAATTTTGAAATTTTCGTATTGTATTAGTTACAGTAATAATAATCAAAGTATTGAAACATCAGACAGATATATAATAGACAACTATGTGTGTGGTCACATTAAAGGCTTATTTGTAATAGAAACTATGAGAAATCCATGCATTTTGTACTTCCGTTAGGTTAGTTCGCCGCATTATGCCACTAATATCATATACAGGGTGGCTTGCAGCTCATGGTCAACGTGAAACAAGCTAATAGCTAAATATTGGATCTATCTGGCTTATGACGGAGATATTTACTACTCATAAATGCAAAACAGTCCCATTGCACAGTGGGCAAAATTGAATCAACCACGACAAAATTGAATATCTCGGCTACCAAACGGTTTCAGTCAACATGTTATACATATTCTCACACATTTTTTCCCCCTCTGTTCGGGACCTAACTCCACAGCGACCAGTAATTTGATCTATGGTAGTATATCCCGTGTCCTTAGTTTAGTGCATGTCGTATTACTCCATCACTATTGATAAATGATAAAGTATTCGTTTTGTTTACAGTTGTCATTCTTGACAACTGAAAGTTTCCGCTATTTATACCCTTCGGAGTGTTGAAACACCCTCCAAAGGCGCGCCCCTCTGTCAGTCAAAATTGGATTCCTTAGCATCAAAATTAAGAAATGACACCGATAATGACCATGCATCAGAACCCTAGTCTTAACCACTTCAAACTAGAGAACAACGAATAGAAGATTAGAAATCACATAGATGAAGACTAACTAACTCATTACGTATCAATATATTGACGCGAAGGGGAATTATTGACATTAATATCGATGATGTGAATACAGAAATATTGTCAATACCGATGTATTGACGTCAATATTGAATGTATTGACAATACGATTATTGTCAATAAAAGCAATCGTGTACGGTCCACATTAGGCCCGAGTCGATCAGTGGTCGCACTGCCAATGACATTCTTAGTTGTTTTTTCAGAGTAATCAACAAGCATGCTCACATTAACAAATTTACATTTTGGTTGGATAGTTGCTCATCCCAAAACAAGAATTGGAATTTGTTTCAACACATCATCCTTCTGATAAACAGTACGGAAATTCAAGCTGAGCAAATACTGTTCAAGTTTTTTTGAATCTGGCCATACTTTTATGGCCGCTCATTCATTTCACGCAGCGGTTGAAAAAAAAAATACGTCTCGAACGTGTTGTTCCAAGCCAAGTTTAATATCTCACAATACACGTTGAACTTATTCAAGCCATCGTGGACATCATGAGAAAATTGGTTTTTCAAAAAGGAAGTTATGAGCTAGGATACGCAAGCAACATCAACAGTTAGGACCTTAAATACTGCAAACTGTTTTCCAAGAAACAACTATAGCTGATCGAAAAGGATACGTTCTCTACTGAAGCTAACGTACTCTGGCAAAGGTCTCCTTGTGGAATTGAAGTAGATAGGAAAGCCTCTCTGTTGACAGTTGTCGTACCTGTCATTGGAGAAGACGAAACATCATGTTTAGTTGGTCTTCCGACCAAGCAACATGCATAGAAATGATAGTTATTTAAGGTTAATCGTTGTATGCATTTCTTTTATTTTTAAAATATATCTCATTTTACTCCATAGTTTTACAATACCAAATAATCATATGTGTCACGAAAAGGTACAAATAGGGTAAGGTGTTGCAAGTTGATTAGTACATTTTTTAATTTATTTGTTTGTAAATAGTAACAGAACTGAGAATGATAGCTCAGATTTTCCTTAAAAAGTGTTAATGCGCTTACGACGTTATCGAGGTATTATCCAATTAATTAAAATATTAATTTTAACATTTCGGCAATCGTTTGGAGCTTGTAATATGTTTACGATGTATAATTTGGAATACAGACTATAATTTTTGAATAATTTCTTATACGTATTAAAAATTGTAGCAGTGGGACAGATATGCGTCCATTTTTGCAATGGGACAAAACGACTTCACATTTTTTTTTAATTTTTCTACAATAAACAGCATGTTTGAATATAATATCGAAATATCACATGGGACAGTTATGCTTCCACCGGCAGTTATGGGAACTTCCGTGGTGGGTTACTTCAGCGAGTTTTCATTCTCGAGAAATTCGCGAAAAATGTCAATGTTTTCGTTTGTTACATTGGGCTTTCATGCTATTTCTAAACAATCCATATTATATAATATGAGTAAGATCTACTCATTTCCGTCAAAAGTACACTCAAAACAATCGACAAGTTATTGTTACGTGAAAAATCACGTGGAGTCTCTATTTTCACTTTTAATTCAAATTTACGTGACACAAGCACACAGAAAAAAAAAGTTGTTGAATATTACATCCAAACTGCTGCAACCAGATCAATCCATCGGTTGTGTAATATAACACGATGTACAACGATTTTGCGAACAAAATTACATCCATTGATGTAATATTGTATCCAGGGCGTCACAATATCAGCTTCAATCGACCAAATCGATGCGACGAAGAGACTGCTGGCTTTCTTTTTCTGTTAAAGTCGAACAGCTTCGCAGCATTCTAGAACCTCAGTCGGCGTGCACAAACAAATGTTCAATCGCTTGTCTCTCTTTCTCCCGTCGCTCCATTGGTCTTCCTTTCAAGCTTCGGTGAAACGGATGAGCGAAAGAGCGCTCGACTTTGATAGTTTTCTCTTTCATGAAACACATCAACAGAGGTTTCATGACGTATATGACGGAAAATGAAATTACATATTTAAAGCATTTCTCATGTGAAAACACTTGAAGATTACACGTAATATGTTTAATTTATCTTCCATCCACATATTTATCTAAAAAAATTAACGAAAACGGGACATAACGCATTTTAAACAAATTGAAAGAGCTGTGATAGAGTGTTCGTGAAAGGGGATTGAAAGCCATAATGAGGTTTCGTTTAACTAGAAAATCGACGTTACTTACATTGAAAGCGATGAGCAAAGCAACGACGAGAAGATCCACAGCCAGCGTTTCCTTCTAAGCGTGCTTCTTTTTCATTATTATTTCTTGCTGATAGTCTAGCAAGGCGTTATAGAAATGAAGCGTTGAACACGTTTGTATGAGAGAAACAAAACTCGAGTTCAGAGCTTCGAAAATATAGAGCCCTGATTGTATCTGCTTTTTGTTATTGGCGTTGACGGCACCGTCGAAAAATTTGCTCTTCCAGAAAATTTAGACAGTTTCTTATGGGAATTTTCGGTGGAGTGAAAGGATAGTACAAAGTCCACCATATTTCACGCACAGTCTGACGTTTGCTTATGTATTTTCTCATAGGAGTAAAGAGCTACAGAGGCGCCGTCAACGCCAATTACATCATTATTTCCTACATCAACTTGAATTACATTGATCGATATTACATTTTTTTTTTGCTGTGTAGAGACTACGTGATACCACATATATATCAACGGGAAGTCCGTTTAAAGTCACTAGGTTTTTTTTAATGAAACGTACGGAATTTGCACACACACAAATCCTATGTGCATTTTACGTGAACCCTAAGTGATTTTTACAAAAATAGATAAGTGCCTCACACAATATGGTCTTTAGATGCCAATTAAAATCTTGGGGCTTCCCTGTCCAAGGATGAGGGGCTTGTTGATGATTTGTCAAGGTTTGAAATAATTTTTTTTTGCAATTTGTTAAAATTGTAGTTTTTCTCCAGTTCATTGATTTGAAAGATTCAAGCGAGTTAATTTCACGGAGCCGTAAATTGTAGTTTTATCATAATTTTAATATTATCATAAAATAAAATAGTAATTTTAAATTCGCTTTTGTAATGCTAAGGCAAATAGTTTGCTTTGAGTGTAAAGTTAATTTATAAGAAACTTGACGGGTCATACCTCTAACATAGTAGCAGTGACAGTGTCGCATGTCCTAACAACAACTGCCTGCGACTAGTGTTCGAGGGGCCGACAGGGCTGAATACAGGTCAATACTAACAAAACTCTAACTGTTGCGGTAATTCGTGCCAAACCCCCTCGGACAGTGAAGGCGGTTAAATGACCGAACCGGTGCCATAAAGTCGAAGAAAACAAACTGACAACTGGAGAAGTCTCGCGTAACATTTGAAAAGGGCCTATGTCCAAAATGTAAACAATCCAGAAAATGAATTGTAAATTTTTCCGCCAGTATTTAATTCCTATATAAATAGATTGAAGTATTTTAGGCATTTATATTGTTCACAATAACAATAGTAACTATATCTCAGTACACAACATCCAAAACATGCGAAACGTTTTCAAAAATACATGAAAATCGATAAAAATTTAATATCACAGTAATAAGCCTTTTTGTGAATCTTTAAATGGTTAGGCCCTTTTTGTTAAGCCGTTGTGCTTGTCATCATAAATTGTAGGCCCTTTGCTAAGCCTTTTCTTAACGTCAAATAAATCATCGGCCCTGCCTCAAGCAGTAGGGCTTAGCTTTGATTTGAAATTTTTCAATCATCGGCCCTTCTACGTCGCTAGGCTTATGAATGGAACCTCATCGAACGAAAAAAAATATATGTTAGGCCCGAGGTTAGGCCGTTTTAGCATGAATGATTGGAAAAATTTGGTGGATCGGCCGTTTTAAAAATCAAGTTATTTTTAATGATTTTTATCGATAATGCGGAACATTCCTATACGACTGGTAGCTAATTACCAGTGCTACAGAATGGTATCAAAAATCGGTTTGTTTACATTTTGGACATAGGCCCTTTTCAAATGTTACGCGAGAAGTGTCTTTGATAGGTTGCTAGGAAGAGTAGACAGAAGAATCGGAAAAGGTAGAAAGAAATAGCAATTCATGCTGCCAAGAAGGCCAGAAATTGTTAATTTATTTAAATTGTATGAATTTGGTTTTTATACCGTGAAAATTAGTTGGAGGAGGAATAAAAGGAGAAAGGATATACCAATATAGATATTAAAGAAGTAATTAATATTTAGTTTGTATTAATAAAGAAATATAGCTTTTAGCGTTCGTGAATTGCAAGCGGAATGTGATTCCTTTGTTGGCTGAAAAGATTTCCGGACACTCCCTCCTTCCCCCAACATTCTAA